TGCGTTGGAAGGCAGCACGATCTGCGCCAAAGGTGGGCTCGGCCGACGAGTTCAAGGGAGATGCGGCGACGCCGAGGAGCGCTGGCAGAAGTGGCAACACGGCGGCCCGCGGGGCACTCTCAAGCCCTACGAGCATCAGGTATGGGAGGGTTGACATCGTGACTGGCTCGAAAAATTCTTTTTTTGAGACTTCAGTACCCATGGGACCGCTGCGGCGGGCCTGGGAGGCGCCACGAGTCCCAACGACGCACGGGCGGCGCACTTCCCCAAGCTGGAAATAGGCCTTTAATACAAACGGATGGTCTCTTGCTGCAGTCACATCACACGTACACACCCACACCGCACCGCACCCCGCGCCCGCGCGCCCCCTCGCCCCGCCTTGCCTCCTAGGCACTGCCCCGGGGCGTCTCGAGGTGGAGAGGCCGGCAGCCTCGCCCGACGCGCCCGACGTCGACTCCTCCTCCGCCGCCGGCTCTCCCGCCACGTCGCCGGGGACGTCGACCTGCATCGAACTCGGTCTCCGGCTCTAGCTCGGCAGCGTGCTCGGGGGGGGTTGGACACATCCCCGGACGAACGGAGTTTTCTTTTTCCTTATTAGGACCTGTTAAATGTGAGGACCTCTCGTCGGTGAGGACCTCTCGAGCGAGCATCTTCGAATGCGTGGGCGGGGAGAGGAAGGGGCGTGCGACATCAAGCAACCTGCTCGGGCGCGTCGCCTGGGGCGCGTCAATCATGGGCCGCTGAGCGCCTGTAGATCTCGCGTTTCGCCCTGGCCCCTGCGTAGTCGAGTCAGACAAAAGCACGCGCTCGGATCATGGAGAAAGAGAAGGGGGTTGGTTAAAAATTAGTTGAGTTGTTTGTGTGCACGAAAACTTTGTTGCCTAGGTTTTTAACTTGTTTTCTTTTTCACACGACTCTTTCACCGGGGGGACCCGTGGGCGTCGAAGAGGCGCTCTCGGGGGGCCGTTCTGAGTTCATACTACCTCGAAGCACACTGACTGCGTCAAAGCACCGGCCCTGGCTCGCCCCCCTCCCCTAAAAAAAGAAACACGTCGGCCACCACGCGGCGAGTTCTTCCTCTAGGTCTGCTGCATGGTGCCCGCCTGGTTCGGCATCACCGCCTCCGTCTCGCTGGGCGCGCCGCAGCGTGCTGCGAGATAGGGGGAGATATGGGGAGATCAGTTGGAGATCAGTCAGCCAGCCAGTGGTCCATATCTCTGTCCATCGCGCCGCAGCGTGCAGCGGACACCGCGTCTAGCCTCAGCGCTCTCTCGCATCTCTCTCTCTCTCTCGCATCTCTCTCTCTCTCTCTCTCTCTCTCTCTCTCTCTCTCTCTCTCTCTCTCTCTCTCTCTCTCTCTCTCTCTCTCTCTCTCTCTCTCTCTGTCCCTCTCGCTCTCCCTCTCCCTCTCTCTCTCTCTCTCTCTCTCTCTCTCTCTCTCTCTCTCTCTCTCTCCCCCCCCCCCTCCCTCTCGGTGTGATGTGAGCTCGTTCGCTGCCTACCTATTGCGCAGGCGCCCTCACCGCAGACTGCTCCGGCACACCTGGCCCATCAGCTCCTCATTCATGCCCTCCCCGCTCAACCATGTGCGCAGGCGCGCTCACCGCAGAGTGCTCCGGCACTTGGTCCGCGGGCGTCGCTGCGGCCGCAATCATGGCGCGGTGCCCCTAGAAGCGGAATACGTGTTAATGCACATTCCAACCAGCGCCCGAGAGGGCCACGTGCTCCGCTGTACTCACCCGCGTTCCGCTGTACTCACTGTACTCCTCTCCGTTGTACTCACGCGGTGCTCTGAAGACGCTGCTCACTACCGCCTTCCCCCGAGAGGGCCACGGACTCCGCTGTATTCACTGTACTCCTCTCCGTTGTCCTCACGCGGTGCTCGGAAGACGACGCACAAGACCCGTCCTCCCGCCCTGAGGCTGGCGTACTCAGCGCGTAGGCTGCCCATATCTCCCCATATCTCCCCATATCTCCCCATATCTCCCCATATCTCCCGCCCTGAGGCTGGCGTACTCAGCGCGTAGGCTGCCCATATCTCCCCATATCTCCCCACATCTCCCGCCCTGAGGCTGGCGTACTCAGCGCGTAGGCGGTGATCCCCGCCCACACCATGAGGTCGGTGGCGGGCGGATACGACAACGAGTCGATCGCGCTGACCGCCATGTGCCGAGATGCAGCCGAGATGCAGCCGAGATGCCGCCGAGATGCAGCCGAGATGCAGCCGAGGTGCAGCCGAGATGCAGTCGAGATACGCCGTGCGCACCACCTTCTACTCTCGGACCTACATGCCATTGCGACTGTCTTCTTCAGCATGATCACTTTCTAGCCACCTCCTAGACACCTCCGGGACACTTCCTAGACACCTCCGGGACGCATCCGGGACGCATCCGGGACGCTTCCGGGACGCTTCCGGGACGCTTCCGGGACGCTTCCTAGACACTTCCTAGACACCGCCTAGACACTTCCTAGACACTTCCTGGACGCTTCCTGGACGCTTCCTAGAGGGTGCGCACCGTTCTACTCTCGGGCCGACGTCTCCCTCTCACTGCTCCCATGACATGGCATTGCCGCTGCGCAGGTGCACCACATTCTACTTTTGGACGCGCGCGCTGCGGCCAGACCCCGCGGTCGCTGACGGGCGCGCGACCAAGGCGCCGCCGCTGATGTCACTGTTATTATTATTATTATGAGTAGCAGTAGCAGTAGTAGCAGTAGTAGCAGCAGCAGCAGCAGGCAGCAGCAGTGGTAGTAGTAGTAGCAGCAGCAGCAACAATAGTGTATTCTCGTTCTCATCGCATAGGCGTCGGTCGTGTTCGGCGTGCTGTGCGGTCTCGCATACGTCTACATGGTGGCGGCATGGGGAGGGTACGTCTTCGTGGTCAACATGATTGGCGTGCACGCGGCGGCCCTGTGCGCTTGCGGCAGGCGCCACCTCACCGCTGCGCCGCGCCGGGTCGCTGCGTTTGGTCCGTCGCCGAGGGTGTTTTCCTGTTCGCGGCAGGTACACCTCCAAGCTGCACCGCGCCTACTCGCTCTTCTACGTCATCGGCACTCTCGTCGCCACCCGCGCGCGGCGCGCGCCCGACTTTCTTTTCGCCACCCGCGATTTCTTTTTCTAGGCACCCTCGGCGCTACGCGAGTGCCGCCCGTCAACTGGGCGCCCGTGCGCAACCTCGAGCAGATGGGCCCGCTGTAGTCGAGATGTAGCCGAGATAGAGCTTTGAAGCCGAGATGTAGCCGAGAGAGAGCCATGAAGCCGCGATGTCTTCTATACCGCTGGCTCTGTTCTCACTATTGCACTTCTGTGCGTTGTGATGCTTTTCCCTGAGATCGCACACAACGCCTCGTGTGCAATGCCCGGCGTGTTCCGCGAGTGCGCGTGTGCCCCGCCGTCCGTGCTATGGCGCGTGTAACACCGACTGATTGGCTGGGTCTCTGATTAGGCCCGCTCCTCGCTTTTGTTGGCATGCAGCTGCTCGAGTACGTGGAGGTGCAGCGGCGCGCACGCAAGCTCTCCGTTTTGCAGGCCCGCCGTTGTCACTCTATCATTGTTAGTGTGTAGTGCGGATGTGCAAGCTCTCTTTCTCTCGTGCCATTGCGCGCCACGCTAGAAACTAGCAACCATGAGGACTGAATGAGCGGATCACGGGGTTCCAGGTCCAGCTGTTGCGTGCCAAGCTCGCGCTGCCCATCGCGCTCGCGCTCGTGGGCGCGGCGGCGCTGCTGATGCAGTTCGGCTACTTCGGCCCCCTCTCCGCTCGCGTGCGCGGGCTCTTCGTCAAGCACACCCGCACCGGCAACCCGCTGGTGGATTCGGTGGCGGAGCACCAGCCGGCAAACGAGCAGGCCGACTCCACTGCCTCCACCACAGTGTATCAGTGCTGGCAGTGTCACTACCAATCCCCATGCGTGTGGTCCTCAGGCGTACTCCCACTACCTCCACCACATCTACCACATCGCGCCGTACGGCTTCCTCCTCTCGCTCGTCCGCTTCACCGACGCCAACCTCTTCATCGTCCTCTACGCCGGCACCGCCTACTTCTTCTCAAACAAGATGGCACCGCACTGCCCCCCCTGCTCGGTCGCCTCTCGACCATCCATGACTCGCTGATTAAGCATTGACAGGCGCGGCTCGTCATCCTGCTCGGCCCGGTCGCCTCGGCCCTCGGCGGCGTGCTCCTCGGCGCCGTCGCCGACCGGCTACCCTCGGCCGCTCGTTGATGACTAAGAATGAATGAGGAGCTCGTTACGAACAGGCGTCCTCGCCGACAGGTCCGCGTCTTCCTCTCAAACGTTGAGCTGATGATGTGCTGTACACGAGCAGGTGTCGCCGCCGACCAGCTGCTCGTCCGCCCCGTCGCGCGACTCGGCTCGAGGATCCTGAGGCTGCCGTCGCCGCCCGCCACCGGCGCCGCCGAGGCCACCGCGGCGGAGGGCGCGGAAGAGGAGGAGGAGGAGGAGGATCGGAGCGGCAAGGACGCGTCGGCGTCGGCCAAGGAGCGGCGGAAGAAGGGCGGCAAGGGCGGCGCCAAGGCCGAGGCGGCGCTGGGCGAGGCGTGGTCGCACGCGCGCGCGCTCGGCGCGCTGGCAATGGAGGGCGTGGAGTTGGTCTACGCCAACCCGGTCTCGTGCTTGCTGCGGATCGCGCTCGGCGCGTACGCTGTGTACTGGTGCGTGCCGAGGGGGCGCGAGTTTTACGACTACTCGCACCAGCTGGCCGAGGGGCTCTCGCAGCCGCAAATCATGTTCAAAGCCAAGACATACAATGGGCAGGAGGTGATGGTGGACGACTACCGCGAGGCATACTGGTGGCTGCGCGACAAGACGCCCGAGGATGCGCGCGTGATGGCCTGGTGGGACTACGGCTACCAGATCACCGGCATCGGCGAGCGGACCACCATCGCCGACGGCAACACCTGGAACCACGAGCACATCGCCACCCTCGGCCTCATCCTCTCCGGCAACGAGCAGAAGGCGCACTCGATCGCGCGCCACCTCGCCGACTACGTGCTCGTCTGGGCGGGCGGCGGAGGCGACGACCTTGCAAAGTCGCCGCACATGGCCCGCATCGGCAACTCGGTCTTCCGCGACATCTGCCCGGGCGACCCGACGTGCTCCAAGTTTGGCTTCTACCAGGGCGGGCAGCCCACGCCGATGATGGAGGAGTGCCTGCTCTACAAGCTCACGATGCACGGCCAGCGCGGGATCGCCGCCAACGAGTCCCTCTTCCAGCACGTCTTCACCTCGCGGTACGGGAAGGTTCGCATCTTCAAGGTGCGGCGCGTCTCGCTCAAGTCGAAGAAGTGGGTGGCGGACCCCGCCAACCGGAGGTGCGACGCGCCCGGGTCGTGGTACTGCGTTGGCCAGTACCCGCCCGCGCTGGCGCCGCTCATCGCGCGCCGGAAGAACTTCGCGCAGCTGGAGGACTTCAACACCAAGCGCAGCAGCGAGGACGAGGCGTACGACAAGGAGTACCACGAGCGCATGTCGGGCCGCAAGGGGCCCTCCGATGGCCCCGGCGGAGGCGGCGGCTCCAAGGGACGCCCCGGCCTCTGGTACCTCGGGTGCGTCGGCGCGGAGGCTCTGCTCGGGGAGGAGCGGACCTACTCTGGCGGAGCGGACGGGTCGACGCTCGCCGAGGCGCGCGCCTTTGCCAAGGAGGCGGGCAGCCGGTACGTCGCGCTGGCTCGCTCGGGCATGGACGGGCACGCGTTTGCCATCCCGGCGCTGCCCCAGGGCTGGAAGGCGGGCAGCCTCGACGACGCCGGCTGCAGCATGCCCTGCCTCGACTTCCAAGCGTACGGGTGCGGCTGCGCCGACGAGCTGTGCGCAGAGGCGGGAGTATCGGCGGCGCGCGACTCGCCGAGATTGCCCGAGATTGCCCGAGATTGCTCCCGAGATTGCTCCCGAGATTGCTCCCGAGATTGCTCCCGAGATTGCTCCCGAGATTGCTCCCGAGATTGCTCCCGAGATTGCTCCCGAGATTGCTCCCGAGATTGCTCCCGAGATTGCCGCTCGTGAGTGGGTGAGTGATAGACTCAGTGAGTCAGAGTGAGCGAGTCAGTGAGTCAGTGAGTCAGTGAGTCAGTGAGTCAGTGAGTCAGTGAGTCCGTGTGAGTCCGTGAGTCCGTGAGTCCGTGTGAGTCCGTGTGAGTGAGTGCATAGGCTCCAGTTGCGCGGCGAGGAGCAATCTCGGCTAACCTCGGGTAATCTCGGGCAATCTCACGCCAGGTGCGCGGCGAGGAGCACGTCCGCCGGTGGGCCATCTACGAGGTGGTCGCCAAGGGGAAGAAGAAGGCCAAGAAGGGCAGCCCGAAGGACGAGATGTGAGCGCCGCCCGCCGCCGCCACCTCCGCTGCTGCTGCTGCTGCTGCCGCCGCCGGTTGCTGCTGCCGCCGCCGGTTCGACGACACGGCGGCGCGGCGGCTGGCGCCATCTCTGTCTCCTCCGCCTGCCGGCCTCGGGCCGGCGACGCTTCCGCGGGCGGGCGGGGGTGTGAGGGGGAGGGTGGGGGGGAGGGGTGCCACCTTGTTTGGAGGTCGCCGCGGCGGCCACAAAAGGTTCTCCGCACCAGCCTCTCTGTCCCACTGCCCGCACGCCTACGGCTCTAGCCGCACGCATCTCGCATGTTGGTTGTTGCGGAGTTGTCCGGAAAGTTGGCATCTCTCGCGTGCAGTTGCGCACCGCCACCGGACATCTCGCCCTCATGTGAACAGATGGGTCTGCTACACAGCGAGAAATCAGCACCAATCAGGCGCTTCTCGAGAAATCAGATAAAACACGCGCACTTTCGAGCCGCACAAAAGGCTCCATCGCACAACTAAGATCTAAGTTATTCAACAGGGCAGGGGCCAGGGCGAGCGCGAGGGGACTGTCACATCTGATAATGATTAATGTACTCGCGGCGGTCTACCAAAGAGCAAAGTCACAAAAAGTCAAACGGAGAGGGTCTTAGAATTTTACAACAAAACTCTCTCACACGACACCGGGTACGGGACTGGGTCTTAGAATTTTACAACAAAGTCTTACCGAGGAATGTGCGCGTGTAAACACCTAAACACGCAACGCGTGGGACGTGGCATCTAGATCCCCTCTGCTCTCTCTCTCTATCACTCTCACACCCACTCTAAGCTCTCTCTCTCTCTCTCTCTCTCTCTCTCTCTCTCTCTCTCTCTCTCTCAACGGAAGCGGGAGCAGGCAGCGGGGTGCGAGGACAGGTTACCTCGCAGCTCTCTCGCTCTCTCGCTCTCTTGCTCTCTCGCTCACTCGCTCTCTCGCTCGCTCTCGCTCTCTCGCTCTCGCTCTCGCTCTCTACCGTTCGTGACGAGCATACACCGATCGTCGTCATCGACATAGTTGCGCGAGGGTCATCCATGGACACAACCAACTCGAGCGCTAGGTAGCATTCGCTGCGCCGCAGGGGCATCTAGGTAGAGCGCACATAGGCCGCTTCTCTCGGAGCGTCTCGGAGCGTCGGCGTGGCAGGAAAATTGGCATGGTGGATGGATGGATGGATGGATGCAGCTCAGGGCCGCGCGGAGGCAGCGAGCCCTCTAGATGAACTCCTCGCTCGCAACACGCGAGAAGCTAGGCGAGAAGGCGGCCGCCGGCACCGGCGCGGGGTGAAGCATATCGCCCACCAAGTCGAGGACGCGGATGTACTCCGAGATGAGGGCCGGCGTGAAGGATGGAAGAACATCCTCCATCGCCGCCGCCTGCACGACGGCGTCCATCGGCAGCAGGGAGGAGGGCGTCGGACACCTACCGCCCAACCGCCGCGAGCTGTGAGCGTTGCGTCCCCATCGCCCAAAGGCAAGGAGTGGGGCGCTCGCCGTGGGTGGGAGGAGGAGATGTTGCCGAACGGCGCCGCCGGCTGCGGTGCACACGCTCGCTGCAACTGCTGCGCCTGCGTCGCACCCGCACGATTGAGATACAGCTCCCCCAGCCCTCCCCACTGGGCCGCAGCGTTCGGCGGCACGCCTCACTGCCGGCTTGCAGGGCAAAGAGCGGGGCCGTGCCCAGCGGGTCGGACCGGAAGGCTTCGAGCTCGCACTCCTCGTAGCTGCCCGGCAGGAGGGGGGGGGGGGGGGGTGAGGCGTGGCAGGAGTGCAGGGGCTGCTGCTGTCCTCTCTCGCCTGCGGTTGAGCCACACTTGCCGTTCCTCCATGCCCGCGAACGTTGCGATGCTCTTGTGCTTCTTGATCCACTTGCGCAGCTGGGTCTGCCGTCGGCCGAGGGATGGCGCGGGTTGAGCCCGCGCGACACAGCCCCAGTTGCCACCCCTGCGCGTGGCGGCAGTGGCGGGGGCGGCGCCGCATTACCGGCTCGATGCCGGGGTGGTTGCGACAGGTTGGCTTGATCCGGCACGACGGGGGGCGGGCGAGGGCTTCGCTGACGACGCGCAGCTTGTAGCGCGCCGAGTAGACCGTTCGCGAACGGCGGCGAACTCTCTGCTCCATTATGCGGCACGTTTGCCCCAGGTGCCCAGTACGTCTGTTACACGCCCAACAAATGAGGGGTATCCAACACCGATTTTGCACACTTCGTGCACGGATATCTGTTTGTGCTCCCCCCCGGAGTTGACCTCCCTGTCGCAAACTCATATCGAGACCCACGGAGATTGAATGAGTGAGGGTTAGAAGATGAGGGATTCTCCGTGGGCCCATCGGGGAAGGTGGTGGGAGGGGGCCAGCGCAGCGTTGATTGATTGATATCGACCGGCTTTCGTCGCAAAAAGGTGGCCTGGGTGCGTGAGTGGGGGGGGGGGGGGGAGTTCTTTGTTTAAGGGGGCTCTCTCCCTTGGGGGGGGGGGGGGGGCACCCGACCCCGCAAAAGGAGCAGCTTGCAAAAGATGTAAGAAGAAGACTCAAAGAACAAAGGAATTGTGGCATACCGGAGCGACAACGCATGACGCCTGCAGGCTCATATGATCTAGCACACACAGACAACGCAGTTGCACACATACAGACAACGCAGTCGCACACACTGACATTACATTTTTTCTCACTGTCACTACCGCATCGTCCCCTTCCTCAGCCCGGCATCTTGCTACGTTTGCTCGCACGTGCACACAGTGCCACCCTTCACAGCTCTCTCCCGGATACAAGCGCGGCAGCGCTTCGAGTCTTTGCGCGCCAGCTGCGCCCACCGCGACTGCGACGTCTTTGTCTGACGCTTTAGCTGCTTCCGCGCCAGCCGCAGCACCGCAGTGCGGTCCTTGAGCGCGGCCCGGAGGGCGAGCACTTCGGCATGCACGTCGTCAGCGGCTCCGCCGCCGCCGCCGCCGCCGCCGCCGCCTCCGCCGCCGCTGCTCGCCTCTCCGCCGCCGGTGCTGGTGCCGCCAGCGGCGGCGGCCAACTCTCCCACACGCTGCCGCCGGTTCGCTGCTGACTTCTGTCGGCGTCGGAGAATGGCGGCCGCCGAGCGTGTAGGCTTCTTGCGAGGGAGGGGCGGCTTCTGCTCCTCCTCGTAGTCCGCCTCAGCCGCCGCCACCGCTGCTGCCAGGTGCGCGTAGTTCGAGAGATCGCAGGGGAGGCCGCGCTCGAGATCGCCCACCCCCGACCCGAACTCGCGCCTCCTCAGCGCCTCTTCACGCTTGGCCGCGGCGCGAGCCAGGTTGGCCGGCGACAGAGGAGAGGCGCCAGGCGTACCGCCGCCAGAGGAGAGCGTGCCGCCGCCAGAGGAGAGCGTGCCGCCGCCAGAGCCGAGCGCGCCGCCGCCAGAGCCGAGCGCGCCGCCGCCAGAGCCGAGCGCGCCGCCGCCAGAGCCGAGCGCGCCGCCGCCAGAGCCGAGCGCGCCGCCGCCAGAGCCGAGCGCGCCGCCGCCAGAGCCGAGCGCGCCGCCGCCAGAGCCGAGCGCGCCGCCGCCAGAGCCGAGCGCGCCGCCGCCAGAGCCGAGCGCGCCAGAGCCGAGCGCGCCGCCAACCGGAGGCGCGGCGCCTGGAGGCGCCGTCAAGACGCCGTTCGCGCCGTAGGCGTTGATGACCTCGTTCACCGGCGCAGGCGTGGGCACGGAGGCCATGGCAGTCGATTGCGCAATCAACCAACTGGGTACTTCTTTTTTCTCTTTCCGGCCGCGTTCATGCTCGCAGCGCTGGCAACGACGCTCACCCTCTCCGTCACGATGAAGAACCAGGCACTCGTATTCCTCAAGCCGCACGCGGCCAACGACGCGTGCGACGCCTTCCTCAAGCAGCACCTCGAGCAGGCCGGCATCACCGTCACTTCGTCCGGCATCAAACGGGCGGCCGAGATCGACGAGCAGAAGCTCATCGACCAGCACTACGGTTCGCTCGCCGACCTCGCGATGGGCGTACAGCCCGGCGACATGGCAGTCTCTCCCGCGGCGCTGCAGGCCTTTGAAGACGCGTACGGCCTGAAGTGGGCGCAGGCGCTGCCGAGCATGCTGCGGAATGACGACGCGCTGGCGCAGCTCGGCGTCGACGGCCTCGGCCTCGAGGCGATGTGGCGGGCCGGGAAGCAGCTGAAGCTGGCGCCGGGCACTCGCGACTCGCGGATCGACGGCGTGACACAGACCGATTTTCATGACTTCGAGAGCTGTGCGGACAGGAACGTACGTCTCGCGTCTCGAGGGGCCGTCGCCGCCCGTCTACACGGTGAACGGCTTCTACCCGGCGATGCGGCAGGCGTTCGTGGCGCCGGGCGCGGAGGTGCGGTACCTTGTCTGCGAGTGGGACCAGGCGCTCCTCTCTTGGGCCGCGTTTCGTCAGTCGGTGATTGGGGCGACCGATCCGGCGATGGCCGCGGCGGGCAGCGCGCGCGCAGCGATGCTAGGCCAGTCGCGCGAGCTGGGCCTGCTCACAGCTAGGAGCCGTGAAGCAGACGCTGTTCGCACCCGACGGTAGGCCAGTGGCGCGAGCTGGGCCTCGAGGCGAAGCCGAGCATGAGCCTACATTGCCTAACCCGAACCCGAACCCGAACCCTAACCGTAACCCGAACCCTAACCCTAACCCTAACCCGAACCCTAACCCTAACCCTAACCCTAACCCTAACCCTAACCCTGACCCTAACCCTAACCCTAACCCTGGAGGCGAAGCCGAGCATGAGCCTAAATTGCGTCCACGCGTCGGCGGGATCTAGCCGAGATCCAGCCGAGATCTAGCCGAGATCCAGCCGAGATCTAGCCGAGATCCAGCCGAGATCTAGCCGAGGAGCTTGCGGGCGATCGCCTTAGTCGCCTGGCAGCAGCCAACCGCCGCGCGTCGTTCACAGCTGCGCCGCTGTGAATGCGGGCCTTCTAGGCCCGCGGCTAGTCTGCCTCCGCCCACCCCCAGGGCCTCCAGGGCTAGCACCTCAACCTCTCACAGGCCAGCGCGCAGCGCTGTACGGCGGTCTCTTCTTCTCAGTGACACGCTCTGTGAACAGGCGGGGCCGCTCGAGGGCCTCAAGGAGCGCTGTGTGTGGAGCGGCGCGTCGGCCGCGTCGGACCCCCTCCCCTTCTCGGAACCGTCTCGGAACCGTCTCGGAACCTTCGTAGGCGCGTCGCTCGCGTCGGACCCGCTGGCGGAGGCGCTGCTGGCGGGCGGCGTGGGCAGGGCGACGCTCGAGACGTGGCTCAAGGCGAGCGGATAGATGGCTAGGGGAGAGTTGAGAGACCAGCCCGGCCAGCGAGTGGGCACCCGGCGAGGTGTGTGGGTGGGCGCAAGCGAGGGGGGACCAGACGGCACACCACATTGACAAGGCCCTCGGCTCGGCTGCCCACTTATCTGAGTGAGCGTGCGGCACCGCGGGCCGCAGGAGAACAGCGTCGTCTCGCTCGGCGACGCCAAGGCGGACAAGGTCTTCGACCTCACCGAGGAGATGGGCGCGGCGGAGTGCGTCGCCCTCTGCTGTGGCGCCTGATCGAGTCTGCCGTTTCGTAGAGCTGGCGTCGGTTACGATGCGCGTCTACCGAACCACGGGCCGCGCAGACGGGGATTGAGCGCGGGACGAGCTGAGGCGGGTCGATCAGTAAAATCTCAAAAATAAAGATCCGTGTACCGTAAGCGTAACATTTGTGAACAACTTCCGGAAATAGTTACCTTTTACATATCACACGACGGTCGAAGCAAATGTGCAAACCTACGGCTCTAAACGATGGGTCACCAGCCCTTGGTCACCGTTGCCACCCTAAACGCGATCCCGCAGGCCTGAGGTAGAGTATAACCCTATAAGGTAAACTTCTCCACCTCAAGGTGGAGGGCAAGGGGGCGGGGGCAAGCCTCTCACGTCGCTACCTGGCACTACTGAAGTCTGTGCGCTGCCGAGAGAGTTTCACGGTCTCTCTCTCTCGCTCTCGCACAACCTTGCATCGCGAGAAGTTTGACTCAATCGAGGTCCTCGATGAAGCCCATGATGTCCACAGCAGCCGCTCGCGCTGGCGCCACCTCGATGTTGCTAGCGGTGGCGGAAGCGGCCGAGGCGACCGAGGCGGCCGAGGTGGCGGCCACCGCACCAGCGGAGCACCCGGCGGCCGGTAGCGCCGCGGGTGGCGCCGCGGGTGGCGCAGCCGCCAGGGATGCCGGCGGCGGTGGCAGTGCTTGCTGCTGCGCCTGCTGCTGCGCGTGCTGCTGCTGCTGCGGCGGCGGCGGCGGCTGCTGCTGCTGTTGTTGCTGCTGCTGCTGCTGCTGCTGCAACACCCATCGATCAATCGGGAGCATTGAGTGCTGGTGGTGCTGGTAATGTTGGTGGTGCTGGTGCTGGTGCTGGTACTGCGCCCGCTGCGACTCCGCCAGCGCGAGCGCGAGTTGCTCCGCGACGCTGCCACCGCCGCTTGCAGTTGATTCCGCCTCGTGTGGCTCGCCGGTACTGTCCAAAAGCACATAGCCCTTGCCCTTGACGTGTACTCGAGCGCCGACACCAAGCTGCGTCGGCGGCGTCGGCGGCGGCTGGGGTGGCAGCGGCCGTGGCGGCTGCGGCGGCGGCTCCGTCGGAGGAGGGGGGGGCTGGTACTCGCCGACCGCCCGCGCATACGCCACCGCAGCCTCCACTGCTGTGTCGAAGTAGCCGATGTAGATATTCCTTCCGTCCACCTTGTGCTGCGCCTCGAAGCGGCCAGTACGCGGCTCGCGCACTCCCTTGTAGCCGGTGCTGCTGCTGCTCGAGAGGTGCAAACGCATACCCTCTGCCGCTTGCCTTTGGTCGCGGGCGGGTGGTTGGGTGCCTCCCGCCCCCCCTCCACTGCTGCTACCGCCGCCACTGCGACCGCCGCCGCCACCGCCACTCCCGCTCCCGCTGCCGCCGCCGCCGCCGCCGCCGCCGCCGCCGCGGCTGCTGCCGCCGCCGCCGCCACTGCCATCGCCGTCGCTGCTACTGCCTCCCCGCTGACCCGTCTTGCCGCCACCACGTCTACCGCCGCCAACTCCTCTGCCTCGTCTGCCTCGCCTGCCTCGTCTGCCTCCGTCGCCGCCGTCGTCACTGCCGAGGCCGCCGCCATCAGAGCCGCCAACGCCGCTATCGCTGTCTGAGAGGAGGGGAGAGAGGGAGGGAGGGTCGCATGCATGGGGAGAGGGCCGGGTGGTGCCGTGGCCAGCGCGTGCGCTTGTGGACAAGGGCGTGAAAGGGGGAAAACTGTTGATTCTGGAGAGGGCAGAGAAGAGCCCG